TACTGTTTGTGGGAATCCTTTTTTAGAGCATTAAGGCAGTAACCTGAGTCTAGACAGCCAATGTGTTGGAGATTTAATTTTGTCTGACTCTGATAAACATGGTGCTTCTCACGTAATTTGCAAGAAAAGGCGCAATTTCTGTTAGGGGTGATGTAGTAGTTGTTTTATACAGGTTGAACCGTTTTCAACCATGAGGTTGAAATTCAGGTGAGTATTCAGCTACCAGACTTGGGAAAGACGAGTTTTTATAACCTTTGTTTCTAGATTCATTCTTAAAAAAAAAAACCCTGCGTATACTGAGGTTTCTCTTCTGTTCCCCGAGGGTCATCTTCCTCCTTTCTGTTTGGCTCCGGGCCCCCGGCGCCTGCAGCCGGCCCCGCGTTTGGCGCCAGCCAGCCACCAGCATTTGGCCAGAGCCAAGGCTCCGGCCAGCCCAGCGCTCCCAGTTTCGGATCGCTGTCGACGACGCTGTTCTCAGCTGGCGCCCAGTCTGCTCCTCCCGCCTTCGGCTCGGTGACCAGCAGCACCCAGCCCTCCGTCTTCGGACAGCAAGCCACCCAACAGCCAGGGTTTGGCTCTGCTACCCCCAGCACTGGTGAGTGACAACCCTCCCTCTTCCCGTTTGGTCTCAAAAGATTATAGTTTCGTTTTTTACTAATATCTTCATGAAGTGCACCTTAAATTATACGGAGAAAGAAGACTTCTGCCTTGCACACATATGAAGTATAAGAATTTCCCTCCATAAAAATAATGGGGACAGGGTTAAGTGGTTTGTGTGTCACTCCTGGCTGTGGAGGATGTGCCGTAGCTGTGCCAGCTTCACAGGGAGCCTTCTCCCCACGAGACTGAGCAGACATGGAGGGTGCAAGCCTACTGCCAAACCCTGGGCTTTCTTTTCTCAAGGCATCTAATGATCATAAGGATGTTAAAAACCATGGAGTACTAACTGTAAGATTGTGCAAATCAGAATGGCAGAAGCACTGCAAAATTACTACTTCTGGATTTGTTAGAGTAGTTCTTAGTTAACAGGTTTTGGCAATTTATTTGGATTGGGAGCTTTATTGTGTAAGAATAAAGTCAGAATTACTTGTAAGCATTTATGGGTTAGAACTTTTTTTAAAGTTCTTTTTACTGATGAAGTATAAAATATTGTGGGAAGGAGGCAGAGAACGATCCTTATAATTTAAATGTAAGAAAGACCTATCCCACGCTAGTAAGTATCAAAAAACACACTGCCAGAACCTATGTATTTGATCTCATCAAATTAAATACTTAAAGGGAAAAGTATTTTTCTTTTCCTCTTAGAAGCTTTACCTCCAGAAGTTTAGCCTCTGTTAAAAGGTACTGCCATTTTTGTACTAGTCAGTAGGTCAGCTGGCACACCACGGTACTCGGTCAGTCTTTCATTAATAAGGTAGCAGTTTAAAGATAAAAATCTCCTTGGATTGTCTGTGTTGCTTATCAGTGACTTTGATGGTAGGAATTATTTTGTAAGATGAGTTGCTGTGTTAGCACATTCAATCAAAGGGAGTCCCCAGATGGACTGCATGAACACAAGGAAGTTTACTTCAGTATAAATCTACGTGATTTGATACTGTAATTTAAGACTTTATTAATAAACTTCACTATGCACAAGTATGAACTTAATGGTGGTACAGAAGTCGGCAGACAATTTGTTATCAGTGTAGCAGCAGCGTTATTTTAGGACTCCCTTTCTGATTCCCTGTTAAAGTGAGTTGATTTCTTCTCTGTACCGTTCCTGCAGTAACCTGGCACTTCTGGTGCACACCCACACACCCAGACACACACACACAATTGTCATCTTGATCGACCTATTAAAAAATTCATTAAAGGTAGAGGGAAGAACATGAGGATTTTGCTGGGAAGGATGAATTCAAATGCCAACTTTCTTACTCCCTTCTGCTTCCACTCCATCTTTCCAGGTTCCGTATTCCAGTTTGGAAGTAGTACTTCTAATTTCAACTTTCCGAGTAACCCCGGCGTATTTACTTTTGGTGCAAATACTCCCGCACCGGCAGCACCGGCACAGCCTTCTGGCTCGTCAGGATTTTCCTTCAACCAGCCTCTGGCATTCACAGTGGGGTAAGAGACCGTATCCACATTTCACTTGAGCTTGGGTAGTATCAGTGGGCAGTGTTCAGCCTCCACTGCTGTTAAATTGTGAGGCGTTCAGATGAACCTTGGGGTCTGAAACTAAACTGGGCCCCCTTCCTTGCACTAGCCTGCCTGGCTAACTGAGCAAGGGGGTCTTTAAAGGAGCCCAGCTGTCAGAAATAGCACACATCAACGTAGGTGAAATTGTCTTTTCTCGAAAGGTAAGATCCCTATCTAGCCATTATGCTGCTACTTACCTTCTGAATAAGAGAGATTTTAATTGCTTTTGGTTTCTGGAACTCTCTTCCTCCTGTTCATCATATGCCATTTGTTGCCAGCTGGTAATTAGCGAGACAAGACTATGAAAGAGTTGTTCTGGAATATCTGCTCAGTGCTGCTACTGAATTTTCAGCTACACTGTCCTGAACTCTGAACTCCTGATTTCTTTTGATAGGACTAATGGAAAAAATGTTTTCTCTGCCTCCGGATCTTCAGTTTCTGGTCGGAAGATAAAAACTGCTGTTAGACGTAGAAAATAATCGCCCCGTTGGCCGAGCAAGTTTGGGAGCAGCTACTACCCTGCATTGTTCAGTTGTTGGGATCGTACCTCCTGCTGGGGTAGCTGACGTCAGATCTGCCTAACGGAGTAGAAACCTCTGCTGCCCTTTCCTTCCCCCTCCCCTGGTTAGATTTTTTGGGTTTTGTTTATTTTTTTTTTTATTTTTTTTTTTGGTAACGAATAGAGTTGGCGACTGGGCCGTTCGTTCTCAAGCAAAACTTCTTTTAGACTCCAGCAAGTTCCTTCTTTTCACTGACTCGGCATGGTCTGGCTGTAGCCGTGAGTAGAGCCTGCACAGTGAATGGCTTGTACAATACCTCTTCATCTGCACCACTATGTGCGCTCATCTGCGTTTACTGACGCCTGGAAATTGTAATTATATCAGCGAGGGATGCTGTATAGAGTAGAGAGTGTTGGTAACGGATGATTCCTATGCTGAGTTTGTGCCGGTGTATGTGTGAAGTGAGTGAGTTTGGGTGTATCGTGCACTAAAATTTTCTGATAGAGGAAGACTGATTAAAGGATGATCCATGCTAAGGACTTGTTAGATCTGTAGTTCTTCATTTAATAATTATATGCTATTTCTATATTTTCATTCTTACAGCCCTTTATCACCTGTCTCGCCTTTGTTATTTTATTATGAAACATGTGTAAATACAATTTTGTTTCTCTATGTACTTTTTTGGCATAACAAATCTGTGAAATTGAAATTTTAATTTTGTGTGTTACGGCCATTTTTGTTTAGTATTGTCTCAGATTTTATGTAAATCCCATTATTCAAAGTTGCCTAAATCCATTTAGAAAATCTTTAAAATTGGGAATTCTTAAAGTAAGTTTATTGGCTTTTCTGATCCATTTTTGTTTGGACCAAAAACCAGTATTGTACAAAGTATTAAGTATATATTTTTATATTTACTGAAATGGACTGTGGTGACTTTGGATAATAAGGAAAAGTTTAATATTAAAGCCATGTTTATTACAGTATAATTAACATGTTAAACCATGGGATAAATGCCATCAATAAAAACTATGAAACATTGTGTGGCAGTTTTAACTCTCTGTGAAGGCAGGTGCAGCTGTCACTGCACAAGATGATGTGACAACATGTGTGTCCTCCAACCTCTGCTTCTTCAGTGACACCAATGCTGATTTTAGAGGATCTTGCATTAGTTAGAGGTTCCCTGTTAGGAAGGAGAGTTTTAGTGTAGGTTTAAGCTTGGAGCCATAGGTCAGCTGTCTAGTTGCAATGGCTACAGTTAATTTTTAAAGAGCTATTTAAAAAAAAAAAAAGCTAAATTTACAAACATTCACCACCAGGAAATAGTACACCTAATTGTAAATGAGTAATTTGGGTTTTTTCCACTTGTGTAGCAGTTAAAAGGAGCTTCTTAGAGAAGAGCCGTTGCTCAAGTAAAATGAGAGGAAACGCTCTTGTTTGTTTGGGAACCACAGGTGAACTTTGACTAAGCCACAGCGTTTAGTTCCTGGTGGAGATCTGAGGGCTTGCTACAGCTAGGACTGAAAGGACCCGCGTAAGCTCCACAAGCTTTAAGTGTCTTCAGATGTTTTGCTGAGGTTTTTTTGCTGGTACTTCTGCTCTACTACTTTCCAGGCACAGGATCTACATTCTTGAATTGTAATTTTCTTCTTCATGTGCTGTGGAAGGAGGGGCTGGTATTTTTCTACCCTGGTTAAGAGACACTTTTCCTGACACCTGAATTGGCAGCAATAAAATTTTAGCCCCTGGTGTTGCTTTTCCCTTCCTCCCCCCACCCCGTCTTGAATCCTAGTTTCTAGGTCACTGCTATAGTAAATAGAACAAAAAGTTCTTTTTATACTCACGCTGAAATTGTAAATAGGCAGCACTCACCCTGGAAGGGACTTCAGTTAGTTGTGACAGCTTTAGCTTCTGTCAGGCTGCCACGCCTGAACCTGTAACTTCAATGCTTAAGTCAACAGTGCAATTCTTTGAAAGAACCATCCAGCGATAGCCCTAAAGTTCTCTTTCAGCTGAACATCTTCAAGCCATCTAACAACCTCAAAAGGGCTTTACTCAGACCTCCCAAAACATCACTGTAAGTGAAGATGAGAACGTGTACACCGAACGTGATGTTAATAAACAGAACACCACTTATCAAACTAAAAGATTGCAGAATATCACCCAAGTTACTGATTAAATTATTCCCCAGAAGACAAGAGAGAGACCCAAGCTCTCCAACCTTTCTACTGTCGACCTCCAAAACCAAAGGTAGGGCAAGAACTTCAGCCACAGAATTGGCACAGTTATGCTTAGGGAAGAACACACAAAAACTGGGCTCTAGAAGAATTCCAAACTCTTACTCAAATTTTAATAAAACATTAACATTGTTGCTTATATTCCTTTTCCAAGAGACTAATAACATAAGAATAAACAAATTATCAAAGCTATGTAATCATGCAAAATACTAGGCTTATTTATTCAGTGTTTAAGTTATTCTGAATATACAAACAATTAGCCAGAATTATAAAGTGAAAATAACCAGTATTTGTACTTCTGTAGATTTACACCCATAACACATTTCAGTTGATGTTTTCTGCATGCTCCTCAAACACATTCGGTTGTTTTGCTTGGCATTAATTATATGCAAGAATTAGACAAGTGCTTTCACTCCAAAGAGAAGCAAAAAAGTTACTTTCTGTAAGCAGGGTCTGTGCTGCTCACAGCTCCAGAGTTATTTACAGGCTCCAAGTCACTAACACTGCCGTGTAACATACCCCTCCCAGCCAAAAAGCAGCTCTTATTTCACCCTCTTTATCTGCTCTGACACGTGAAATAAGTGACAACGCTTAAGACGGTCATGCAAAAAACGTTTCACATCAATGTTCTGATAAAATACTTAAAAGAGGTGAGGGGAATATGATCTGTGAAGTAATAATAAGGGAAGTGATAAACACTGCTCGTTTCTTTCTACACACGTGGCAACTTAATTAACGTTATTTGCCCTACGGTCTAATACTGCAGTTCTCTTCCCCTCAGAGTTCATCATACCACTTAGGCAACTTCTTGGAAAACAACTCGATTTTTCTAGTTACCTGCCAACATCCCAAACTGTAGGAGTTACAATTCTTTTATGGTGGAATATTTCTAGGTTTCTGCTTTCCACAGCCTGACGAAGAGAAGAGCCCCCTTTCTGCAGTTCAAGCAGCCACTCTTCTTTGTGCCAATCGGAGGTTAATACTTCCAGATTTAAGACGTACTGGTTCTCCCAAACTTCTTTGGCATTTATGAAAACTCCAATACTTTGAAGGAAGCTGCTGGCATCATACCGGAGTAAAACATTTTCTTCAGCTTCTGAATCAGTTCCCATTTCATTTCGGCAAAAGGTTCTGACAGACACCTCAATTTCAGTTTTGGGGTAGGTCTTTGTTCACTGGGGGTGGGAAGGGGATGTTGAAAACCAGTCTGGAAATCTCAAGCTTTTGGTATCATCTGACTCCGTTTCTTCTTACCACAATAGTCCCCGCTACAATATCGTAGGCTGTTCTGTTATGCTGGAAAAACAGCAGTGTAATAAACGCAGGAAAAAATGAAGCAATAGAAAAATTCTTGATCAAGGCTCGTATTGTGGACCTGAAAGGAGAAGAAAACATTCAGTGCCTTATGCTCACCTTCCTGGTTATACTAGTAGATAGTTTACTTTGAAGTTTGATTTTTCTGCTGTGCAAAACTAATCTCCACAGTTCAAAAGAGATTATTTTATCAGCTAACCTGGAAAAGATTCACATGATTGAATAATGGCCATTTTATTCTTAGATTGCGGGATCTAACAATAGCTCTTGCAATCTAATTATCGCAAAGGCCACTAATAAAGCAAAGGTGTGTTACCTTCCAAACCCCATGCTTTCCACACTATAAACCTGGAAGCAAGAGGACTGAGCCAAGAGCACTTACGTTGTCATACTGACATTGGAGGAGGGAATGACCAACACTCGGCTGGGTGCAATAAGTACGGATGTGTCACACGTCACGACTCGCAGGCCAAGCAAGAATTTCCCTGGGGTGGCTCCCCCTGCTCCCCAAATACAGATTATCTGCAGAAGAGAAGTTAAAAAAAAAGTTATTTCAATTCCACACGAGACCACGTTGTCAACCAGTCAAGCAAACTTGCTTTTCATCAAAACTATGTGAATGTCACAAGCTTCAACATAATCCAAAATACTGTAAAGAGGATTTTCTTTATAGGCCAATGGTGGCAGATTTTTTTTTCTCAACACTTATTCAACAACTGGCAACTATTTATTATAGAAGTTAATGTTTATGAGTAGTTACCTCGTAGAAGCAGACTAATAACCTGTAGATGAGAGCTACTATCATCATTTTCTGCAAATCTTCCATGGATGTATCTTCGTCTATCTCTTCTATTATGTAATGCATGGCGAATTTAGAGATGTCCCTGTACAAAATAAGACCAAACTTTAAAAACCAGCTTTCTCCCAGTACCAATGTCACCCCTTTAATACTAGAATTCAGTCCTTCAGTTCTGGTATTAGTGAAAAAAAAAAGCAAAGCTCCTTGGCTTTCCCAATACTAAACAAGCCATTAAAATTCAAAACACGAGGCTTCCTTCAGAGCTGCTGCCTGCTTTGCTTTGTCTTTCTCATTAAGAAAAGATCATTATCACCACTTCTGCACAATGATGTCCTCGGGTAGAGAGCTGCAACATTGTTCTGAGAATTCCCCCACACAAACAAGAGATTCTGGGTGTGATCATCTAACTCTATAAATGGAAGCCATCCAAGTCTCTTCCTGACAGGAACTCCCAAGGAAAAAGAAACTATGGCACACTTCTCCCGACAGGGAAGGGAGACCTATCCTCCCTGGCATGGTCAGGGCTCCTTCTCAGCAGCCTTCACTGCTCACCACACTCTTCCAGAGGCAGGCACCTCGGCACACAAGAGGAAGTTTTTAACTTAAAGCAACTGAAACCTTCAGCTGTTTACCCTAACAAAGACAGCAAAGCACCAATTTGGAGTCGCTTGTGTATTTTCACAAGATAAACCCTACAGATAACACTCTTATCTGATACCTGGAATGGACATAGCTGCAGCATGTATTTAGGCAAGGACTGTTAAGAGAACATCAATTTGTGACCACCCGAGGAACCTGAACATACACAGGTCTATGGGACCTAATGGGATGCAGCCAAGAGTCCTGAGGGAACTGCCTGATGTGGTTGCCAAGCCACTCTCCATGATACTTGGAAAGTCATGGCAGTTTCGTGAAGTCCCCAGTGACTAGAAAAAGGGAAACACTGCACCCACTTTTAGACAAGCTAGTAAGGAGGACCCTGGGACCTACCAACCTGTCAGCCTCACCACTGTGCCTAGGAAGACCGTGGAACAGATCCTCCTAGAAGCTGTGCTGTGAACATGGAGGAGAGGGAGCCGATTCAAGACAGCCAGCATGCCTTCACCAAAGGTGAGTCCTGCCTGACCAACCTAGTGGCCTTCTGTGATAGTTACTACATCAGTGGACGTGGGCAGAGCTATAAATGTCATCTATGTGGCTTCTGTAAGGCCTCTGACACAATCCCCCACAACATACTTCTCTCTAAATCGAAGAGAGAGGGATTTAATGGGTGGACAGTTTGGTGGATGAAGAATTGGTCACATCCACAGGGTAGTGGTCAACAGCTCAATGTCTACATGGAGATCAGTGACATGGGTCACCACTGGGATCAGTACTGTTTAATATCTTCATCAATGACAAGATCAAGAAACGGGCCCATGTGAACCTCATGAGGTTCAACAAGGCCAAGTGCAAGGTTCTGCACCTGGTCTGGGGCATACCCGGGTATCAAACACAGGGTGGGGTATGTAGGGATTGAGAGCAGCCCTGCAGAGGAGGACTTGGGGGTACTGGTGGATGAAAAACTGAACACGAGCCAACAATGTGCGCTCGCAGCTCCAAAGGCCAACTGCATCCTGGGCTGCATCAAAAGGAGCATGGCCAGCAGGTCAAGGGAGCCCCTCTACTCTGCTCTGGTGACACTCCACTTGGAGTACTGCATCCAGCTCTGGGGCCCTCAACAAAGGAAGGACATGGACCTGTTGGAGCGGGTCCAGAGGAGGGTCACAAAAATGACCAGAGGGATGGAACACTGAGAGAGTTGGGGTTGTTCAGCCTGAAGAACAGAAGGCTCCAGGGGGAGCCAACTGCAGCCTTTCAGTACTTAAAGGAGACTTGTAAGAAAGATGGGGACAGACTTTTTAGCTGGGCCTATTGCAATAGGACAAGAGGTAATGGTTTTTAACTAAAACAGGGTAGATTTAGACTAGATAGAAGGAAGAAATTCTTTACTCTGAGGGTGGTGAGATGCTGGAACAGATTGTCCAGCAAGGTGGTAGATGCTCCATCCCTGGAAACATTCAAGATCAGGTTGGACTGGGATTTGTGCAACCTGATCTAGCTGAACATGTCCTGGCTCACTGCAGGGGGGTTGGACTAGATGACCCTTTAAGGTCTCTTCTAACCCTAACTATTCTGTGATTTTCACTCACGCATCTAAGTGAGAACTACTACTCACATAGAAATGTGCAGTCCCACTTCAAAACAGTCCATCTATATCTGTACTACTTGCCCTCCTTTTTATTCAGACTTAAGGATTAAAAAATATAAGGAATTAATAAAATAATGTGGCACAACCTGCATTTCCCTTCAATACAACCTCAGCCTGAAGTCTCTGTCTTGAGCCTGCAAGGTTCTATTTTTTCATGACAACTCTCAGCCTAACCTCATCCACGTCACATCCCACTCGCAAATGTTTCTCTGAACTTACTTGTAAGCAACTTACCGGCTTTTGCAAAAGTAGTAATATGAATATACTGTAAATTAATTGAAAAATATTCTCTCTCTTCCATTATCTTCACTACTTTACAGAAAAATCATACATGTAGTTTTAGCTGTTCCCCATCTTTTCAATACTTAATTTTGTGTCATTGTCAGGCTACTTAAAACACGACGGAAATACAAGCTGTCAGGTTAGAGTTTGAGGTTTTGGCAACTACAGAGAACTGAGAGTTTGGCATTTTAATTGCATGCTTATCTGAACAAAAACCACCAATCATTTACATTGACATATTTATTGTTTTGGATTTGACTCCCTTCCACACACCTTTCAAGCAGCAGTCTAAGGCATCTGAAAGATGTTATCTGCATAGTATCAGCTTACAGTCAGTCAACATTTGGAAGGTTCTTTAGCAGAAAACTTGGATTCTGAAATGTGTTTGTACAGTAGCTGACTGCACCAAGCTCTTATCTTCTAATCAGGCTGAAATACTTGATTACACCAAACCAAAGCACAGGAACTAAATGAGCTACGGAATAACATACCCACAGTTAAAGAAACAGATAAAATAAGAAACAGTCTTTGAGGTAAATGATTACATCTGAGTATCAAGTATGAAATAAAGAATCTATCAGTCTAGTTGACACATGTGATGCTTAACAATACTTTTTTAAGAAACCCAACTTCTGCCCAGTAAAGACTGCAGCATGGCAGCATTTCTAGCAATCAGGCTGTATTTTAAAAGTACATGCATATCTGACATGCAGGATCTGAAATAATTTTTTGTTGTCGTCACAAATCTAAAACACAGCACCACAGGAGATGCTATGAAGAAAATTAACTCCATCTCAGCCAGATCCAGTGCATTTTTAAAGGCTGTTTAAAAAACAAATTTGTCAATGTTTTTTCTTTAAAATTTTGAGAGAGCTTTTTAAAAATCTTGCTATTGCCTCCCAAAAATAAGATCACAAGTCTCAGCTATCCTCAGTAAGGAGTTTGTGAGCCCATGAAGACACCTGTACAAATTCTTTTTTTCAGTCAGCTGACCCAAAATCATAAAGTGTTTAAGAGAAGGTCAACCTAGCAGTACTTTTTCCTCAACTTTTGACAGTTACTAAGTGCCAGCATATGCATAAGCATACCATATATGCATCATGACACCTCAAAGAGCATGAGAGCTTAAAGCCGTATATAATAAAGCTTTAAATTGTTCAACTTACTTTATTCCACTGAGGTGCATAATACTTAAAACAATGGTTGCCTTTATAAAGAACAGAATAAAAAAATCCACCATCTCTGCTATGAACCTGTGTGCCAGCGAAGGGATAATGAACTCCCGACCTGTAACAGAAATAGTTAACGTTACCCAGATTTTACTGCACTAATAAAGTGAACATTATCATCTAAAGAATGTTTCACATTAACCTCACTGCAAGAACATTATCAAGATCTTGATCTCATCTCACATTTTCAAGAAAACTTCTGAAAATATAGGAGTAAAAAGTGATCTGAATTATTTAAATCAAGTTATAAGAAAGTTCTTAAATCAAACTCCTTCAGAACTCTGAGTCTGCTCATAAGTAGGATTACAAGCAAAATCCCACCCCACTGACGAACCAAAGTAATTTGAAGATGTATCAAATTGTGTGTTTTTTCATTCAGAACAGCTTCACAGAAACAGATTGCAGTAAATCTGAGCTTAGATAAAAGGAAAATTAGATTTTAGTTCTACCACAACTTTTCTATCGCTCATCAGCAAGGCTTCCATATGTACCAAGTAGCAGCTCTCTAAAAGAAAAACACACAGCCTGTTTTTTTTTTTTGCAAGTCAAACCCAGAAATTGAAGCAGATGAAAATACTAGTCATACACGGCATAAACATTCCTACAGACATGTTATAAAAATAAAATGCAGCAGGTTGCCCTACCACAAGCCAGAAAATGGAACACATTTCTCCTATTCAATTGACCAAGTACAAATGAGGGCAAAATAAGCAGCCGCAGTTACAAGCTTTTGTTGCTAATGCTACCTCAGGTGTTTAAAGCAAAGAAAATACTATAGAGTATCTTAGAGAGTTTCTAAGAAATAAGTATTGGAAAATAATTTCATCTGCACCCATTTACCCCTCTGTATTTCCCGAACCACAAACATGACTCCTCACATGAAACCAGCAAGGCCTTGCATCAAAACTTCATTTAGAAACACCCAAGTACTACTAGATCTAACTTATGGAAAATAGTGACTGCGCCCATTAGTGTTTCTGAGAATGCCAGCCCCCATGCACAGGGAAAGGAGAAAAGAGAATCATTCGTCTCTCCAGACTCAAAAAAATATCATCAAATTTTACTTAGAATAAGCCTCCACAGTTCAACTGCTGAGACTGATAATGCCAGTCCTGGCCTCAGAAGCTGTGCAAGTGACCCTGAAAGCCCACAGCACTTTTTAAATGGGCTAAGTACAATCAAGCAGCGATTAGGCAAGAGCAAGTTCTTATTTAACACGCCTCAGTTTATCTTTACTGCATACCTGTTTCACTAATAACTCTGCCTCGATGCTATCAAGCAGCATGACTGTTATATAAATAATATTAAAACTGATTCAATTCTCATTGGCAAAGCATGTCAAAAGTTGTCAACTAAATTCTAATTAAAGATTCTTCAACTAAGGCAGAAGGGAGCACAGCCAGCCTCCCCAGTCCTGGCTCCAGCATACAGCGCCAGATAAAAAGTGTTCATTTGCTCCGTTAAAAGGAACACATTTGCTGGAGTCAAGGGCAGAGTTTCATTTTAATATATTAGACTCAATGAGTAAGTAAAGAAGCAGCTAAATGGGGAAGAAAATAAGTATTCAAATTATGTTAAACTCCATTATATTAAAGAACCCTGGCAACCCTCACACTCTGGCAGATTTCCACTGCAGTGATTTGAGATGTTCCTCCTGTCAAAATTCCACTATTTTGCCAGGGGTTACTATCTGTATGTCAGGGACAGCCAAACGTAACTCGCATCCACCTCAGCTCAAAATCTAGGATCTTACATTAAATTAGCAATAGCGACAGAGCAGCTGAGGCTTGAGCACACTTCTTGTTCCACTGTTCCCAGCAGAAGAGCAGCAGCCTCCTGCAGCAAGGCAGGGAGCTGTGAGGGGAGGAAGAATCTTGAATCACGGTGACTGTCCATAAAGGGCCTGCTACTGCCCAGAGTCCTGTTACAACACTGGTGCTCTGACACACATCTGCGGGCAGACTGAACTGGAAAAGGCAGTCGCCTATTCCACTTTTTGGCATCCTAGTTTAAAATCTGCAACACTAACATAAGCTGTCATTTATTTCAGTTTACGTAAGCACACTGGGCTGTAAACTGCAGTGGCTTAGGGACAGATAACGTGATCCACCCTGCCAAGCCTGCCGTGTGGGCAATAATCTGCAGCTGCAGCAGCAAAGGAGGAGCTGTAATCGCTTTAGCTCTTCCGGATACATCCACCTGCAATCTGGAAGCCAAAGCAGCAGCGCAACATGCAACAGTCTTTGTTTATATTGTATTGTACCACTGTATCACATACAGGGTTCCTTTAAGGCAGCCAGGGGCTGCAGGAGCAGTTAGCATTCAGAATAACCACAATTCAGCAGTATCAAGTGCCACTTCTGCCAAAAGTTGCATTTAACAGGAATTAGTTCCTGAAGAACTAGGTAAGAACCCAAGAACTGTTTCAGTCTAGCCTTTGTCCATATCATCCCTTCCAATGACTAGCAATATCTGTTTATTAGTAATCAATAACTCAGATTCAGGGCACAAATAAAGTAAACACTGCTTTGTGTTACAACCTTGTTTTAAACATCTGCTCAAAACTACAAGAAGCAAGCTCAGAAGCTGGACTCCTTTCCTTTCAAAAGAAAGGAAAAGCAACTAAACCCACCCTTCCCCTCGCGCCCAGCCACCAAACTTAAAAATAATGCTACAGATCAGTAATACTGTACTTTGCCCTGCAGAAAGAAAGGCGATCCAGCTTTTCTCCAAAGTCCTTTCGCTGTACTCGGCTCCACGGTTTTCTACCACTACACAAGGTGCTACCCAACGCTGAGGGAATGTCACCGAGGCACTCCTCCACTCGTTAAGAAATGTTTGTGTGCTCGAGGCTTTTATCTCCGGTGTGATGAGAACAAGTTTGTCTTACTCTCCAGCAAATACAAACAGAAGCACAACAGCCTATAGTATCTACAGCCCTTAGAGCCCTCTGTTTATCTCAGGTCCTGCCCCAAGCTCGCTGAACGTAAGCATATTTTTCCTTCTCTGCTTCCATTTCATTACGTGCTACTTGAGCACCAAGAGCCCACTAAAACTGACGAAGTTACTTTACATTTCATCATCCGAACAGGCTCCTTATAAAGCGAGATGCATTACAAGCCTGTGACCACAAGAGTAAGTTTCCTTAGAAAAAATAAAACTCCTCCTTACACACGAAAAACATCTTACAAGCGCTCAAGTTATAAGCCGTGCACACACGTTAACCCTCTCAAACCTGCTCACGGATTAAGCTCTCCGGATTTACAAACCCGGTATTTGGGCTGTCGCCTTTCGCCGGCTCCTCAGCCCACAGAAGTGCGGTGACACCCCCACCCCCAAAAACGCTGCAAACTCCCCCTTCGCTCCCCCCAGCTTCCTTCTCCAGACACCGCTTCCCGGAACCGCGGCGGAGCCCGAAGGAGCTGCGGGGACGAGGCCTCCGCTGCGGGCGGCGGATACCCAGGGCCTCGGCCGCTGCCAGCCCCCCCCCCCCCCCGCGCCCCACAACGGCTGCCGAGGGGCGGCCCCCTTCCTCCTCACGCCAAGGGACTCGGACCGGCCCCCGACCCCCACTCACCTGCCGGCCGCCCCGTCTCCCTGGGGGCGCCGCTGGTGGCGGCGGCGCTGCTGGAGGCCGCCCTGGGAAGGGGGGCCAACCTGCCCGACGCTCCCGGCCAAGTCGGGGAGGAGGCGGCGGCGGCGGCGGATGCGGTGCGAGGCCCCGGCCCGGAGGCGGCCGTGTGGGCCGGCGCCGGAGCGAAGAGGTAGAAGGGGCTGTAGTAGGCGGCGGCGGCTGCTGCGGCGGCGGCCGCTCCCGGCGGTGGGGAAGGAGGTGGGGGGGGCGGCGCGGCGACGCGAGGGGTGCCGGCGGAGGCGGCGGCGGAGGCGGCGAGGAGGGCGGGCAGGCAGCCCTGCCAGCTGAGGTACCCGCAGTACGAGTCCCACAGCCACTGGTGCACCCGCTGCGCGTACTCCGCCGCGCTCAACGGCTTGGCCCCGCCGCCCTCGGCCGCCGGAGGGGAGCACGGCGGTGAAGTCGCGGCGGCGGCGGCCTCCCCTCCGGCGGCGCTGTCGCCCTCCGCCATCGCTGCCGCCCCAGCACCGGTAGGGCCCCCGCCCGGCTCCGCCATCTCCTCCATCCCCGCTGACACCGATCGCCTTCCCTCACCGCGCACGCGCGGGGGAGACGCCTCGCCTCTCCCACTTACCGAGGGGCGGGGGGGGGGGGGGAA